ACGGAGTACCGGACACGATCGTGTCAGATCGAGGATCGGTTTTCACTTCATATTTTTGGAGGAGTTTTCGGGACTCATTTGGCAGCATGCTATCTTATAGCAGTGTATTTCACCCCCAGACGGATGGTCAGACGGAGAGGGTGAATCAGGTGTTGGAGGACATGTTGCGGGCATGTGTCATTGACTTCCAAGGTAGTTGGGAGGATCATATTCCACTGGTAGAGTTCGCTTATAACAATAGTTATCAAGCGACGATCGGTATGGCCCCGTATGAAGCATTGTATGGGAGACCTTGTAGATCACCGATATGTTGGGCCGAGCCGGAGGATAGCTTGATGCTTGGGCCCGAGCTAGTGAGGCAGACCACTGAGAAGGTAGCTTTGATCAGGGAGCGGATTTTAGCCGCTCAGAGTCGGCAGAAGAGCTATGCAGATAAGAGGCGAAGACCCCTAGAGTTTCAGGTTGGAGATTTGGTTATGCTTAAGGTATCGCCTATGAAAGGCGTACAGCGATTCGGTAGGCGAGGGAAGCTTGCACCGAGATATATTGGGCCTTTTCAGATCCTAGAGCGCATTGGAGCTGTGTCATACAGACTAGATCTTCCAGCATCGATGTCTAGTATACACAACGTGTTCCATATTTCTATGCTTAAGAAGCACTTGCATGATGAGGAGAAGCAGCGAGTATTGGATGCACCGGAGATCGAGCTTCAGGATGACTTGACTACTATTGAGATTCCAGTTCGTATTCTTGCTAGAGAGGACAAGAGGCTTAGGAACAAGGTAATTCCCTTGGTGAAAGTTCAGTGGAACCGAGGAGGCATTGAGGAGATTTCTTGGGAGCGCGAAGAGGACATGCGTCGTGACTACCCACACTTGGTCGAGCAGGTAAATAAATTCTCATTTTGATTACATATCTTAACCTATGTGCATAATCTTTGGTTATGTTTGCATTTAACGCTATAATGAGAATACTTTCGCTTAATTTTTTTAATCTTTTGGAACACATTGTATATGTATGGGGGGTTCCTTGTTTGGATTTTTCGCCCGATGTACTAGTTCCACTAGATTAGGATTTGAGCGAGAATATTATCATTTTAGATCGTTAAGTATAAATATCTCTATAAGGTTATCTAAGAGTTCATATTTCAAGTTCGCATAATTTCCGAATTTCGAGGACGAAATTCTTTTAAGGGGGGAAGAATGTAAAACCCCAAAAATTTCTACAATAAATATATGTGAATTATTAATAGTAAAATTTTCCTTGTGATGAATAATCATATATATACACATATATATGTCATATGAATGTAATTATCTGTGTTTGAGAACCCAACAAGTGATTTTAAGTGAGAGAAATCGAGAGTTTTGGCCAGCTTGTGATATAACAAGCATCAGGTATTTTTGTGCTGCGCGGTCGACCGACGCGGTCGACCATGGCGGTCGACCGACGCGGTCGACCGCACAGCGGTCAGATAGTTTCCAGGCTGGATCTCTTTTACGGTTTTGATTTGGTCTTTTGAGTTTCGAGTCGGGTTTGGGAGTTAGTATATACACCAACTCAACCCAGGAGAGTCTCTCATCATCTGAGTTTTCAAACCCTAGCCCCCTTTCTCTCCCCTCTCAAAACCCTAGCTGGCATTGGTGATTTGGGGGAGTTCTTGAGGATTTTCAGCGGGATTCTGGAATTCCAGCGAAAGGAATCAACCTACTGCAGATCTAGGGCATTCGTCAACACCCAAGGCGCATCAAGAACTGAGTTTTTATTGGATTTATGGAGCCAAATTCGTATCTTTGTTTAGCTAATAGTTTACTATAGCCTAGAATATGGGTTTGGGGCTTAATATGTTGTCAAAACTCACCCATGCCCTGTTAAAGAAGATCTAGATCTGAGTTTTTGCCTAAAAGAGTTTCAAACATCTTTACAGCTTTTAAAACGATTTGGATTTGTTTCTCATGGATTTAAGATCTTGAAAATATAGATTTCAAACTTTGGTTTTGGTTGTGTATTTTCAGTATGATCCCATTTTTATCAAATACCCATGTTATCGAAATCTTTGGTTCCAGGTTTTAGCAGCTGACAGAACCCAGGTAGGGTTCTGTTCGCTCGGCGGTCGACCGACGCGGTCGACCGCTGAGCTCGAGTCAGGGCTTCGGTCGACCGCGTCATTTATTCGGTCGACCGCTATTTGATTTCGGTCGACCGCGTCATTTTTCGGTCGACCGCGATGTCTGGTCGGTCGACCGAGATGCCTAGCGGTCGACCGCCAGAATCGTGTCAGGGTTCGGTCGACCGGATCGGTCGACCGCCGAACTCTCTGCTGCATTTTTCCTGTTTTGTATATTCGAGTATTTTTACTCATGTTCAAGGGTTTGCCTGGATCACCTGACCTTGGTTATTAGTCCCACTATGTGTCCATGCATGATAAATGACTTGAGGGTATAAAGTTGGGACTTATATACTGAATTGGTTGTGAGGTTGATAAGTAGATTTCACTACATGTATCGTAGCGATCCTTTTACTATTTTCTACAGTCCTCGTGTTGGACTATAATCCATAGAAGTCCTCGTGTTGGACTATAATCCCTCTCAGTCCTCGTGTTGGACAATTGTCACTTATTCCATGAGTTTGGAAACTATAATAGTTAGTTCTTATATCAGACATAGTTCTTAACCCTGCATGTGCCTATCAGACATCAGTTCACGTCATGATAACTATGTAGCTTTTGATATTTCTCTTATGTAGATTTTGACATGACATTCATGTAAGTAATAACATGATGTTCATGTGGGCTATGTTACAGCACTGTAATTATACTCTGGTGTTTGTTGTATTTCTTCTATCATTGTTACTGTACTAGAACATTGGGTTTGGTATTTAGGAGTTTACAAATTTGAGATATAAGGTATATACATGAGGGTTTCCTTGTTTGGATTATTTCGCTCGACGTACCTATTCTCGTGTTGTAAACTTCTAACTACTAAAACCCTCTTTAGCAAGACCAATGATTTTAGATCTATTATATATTAATTGTATTTTCTTATACAACAAGCCCTTTCCCTTGGGGTTGGTTGTGATGTTACTCGCTAGCGCTTTGACGCTCGTTGTCCCTCCCCCTTTCAGGTCACGAGCCAGGAGCACGGAGAGTCACAGGTTGATAGCGGACCACTTTAATGTTCAGCTTTACATTTTAGCTATGTAATAATTTTCTTTGGGCTCCACTGTAGTTGGTATTATACATTTGAGGACTATGCTATAGATGTTGTAAAGGCTGTATGCCTTATGTCCTTCATTCAGACTTGTTGTATTTGAGGCTTGTTGAGAACCTCAGTATTTTCATTTCAGACATTGTCTTTGTATTTTCTGTATGTTGGATGGTGAAATAGTATTTCGATCCCTATCATTTCATCAGTTATCTTTTGTATTATCTTTTACTTGTTTTTTTACCTACACCTGTTATTGACTCTACTAGGGTGATAGAATTGTGATGGAGAAACATGTTATTGCACGGTGTGGTGCATGGCAAGTTTGACATTCTTGGTTTCACCCAGGACTGCAGCCTTGTGTGAACCCTGGGGCGTCACAGGTATATATAGAATCCTGGGTGAAACAGATTCCTAAACAGAACAGGATTCTGTTTGACTGCGTCGCGGTCGACCGGCCCGGTCGACCGATCAGATTTCAGAGAGTTTGGCGGTCAACCGGCGCGATCGACCGCAATCAAAACCCGAGACCAGATTTTCCTACAGGGTTTTGGCGGTCGACCGGGTCGGTCGACCGCGACCTGATCCAGGCTCTCCCAGCTCCTGTGCATGTTCGCGGTCGACCGTGGATCTGTCTGCTCGTTTTCTTGTCCTTTTGATTTCAGCTCTTGTCTCGAACTTTGGGTCTACACCTTAGACTAACATTTATCTAGTTTAAGAGGGAAACGAAGGGCGTTGTTGTAAGGTATTACCTTGATTTTCATCGTATTTATGAAGGATGCAAAAGATATGAGGTTACAAGAAGAATTAAGTTTCGTGTTAAATGTTATGATATAAGGGCGAAGAGGATACTTTTGGAAAATTTTATTGGTCCCTTTCTTGAATCAACGGCGTTATCTCTTTGTTTGTTAGCAAATGAGCAGTATTTCCTTGAAGCAGGCTGCATTGATGGTTCATTCATAGAAGATGTATTTCGACCGGGGAGAGATGTAACAATAAAGAAAGGCAAAAGGCTAAATGACTTTTTCTGTGGTCAATAATATATAGTTCCGTCTTTGAAATGCAGATGTAAAAAAAAAATGAAGTGAGAACATTGCTAATTTATATTTTAGTTATACATTAGTGCGTTTTTGGTCTTAAAACTAGGCTGCTATTATATTTTTATTATTGGCCTGATCAAACAAATTAAACTTCCATTATTGGCCTGATCATACATTAGTACGTTTTTAGTACGTCTCCCACACGTCCTAACACTGTGACTCAATATTAAATTATTCAGCCGTAAATAAGTGTTATACGCGTTAAAAGATCGCATAACAATCTCTGTCTCCACTTACTATAGTCAAATTCAAGCATCTAAAATCCCCTCTCACATTATCAAACCTAATAACAGGCCACCACATCATCTCCTACCAAACGGCCGGTCCCACTTCCCAACCCTACCTAGTCTGGTCGTCCCCTTCGAAGACTTCCCCCTTCCTCCGCTCTCCATCGTTATAAGCATTTCCTTCCCTTCCGATTATAAACCAAACTCATTTCTTCCTTCGATTTCCAAATCCGAAAAAGAAAAAAAACTCAATATGGGTTGTTGTTTCTCTGATCTTAAGAAGCCAAACAAGCAGAAGAACCAGCAGCAAGAGCTGAAACCTCAGCCTAGAGTCAAGCGGGCGTTTGCGCGGCAGCCGTCCGATCGAAGCGGGCCCGGGGTCCCCGCTTTCTCGGGGTTCTCGCTGGCGGAGCTGAAGGCGGCCACCGATGATTTCAGTAAAGAAAATATCGTGTCGGAGGGCGCCTAAACAGTTTGCAGTTGGGTATTCTCTCTCTCTCTTTTTTTTCAGATTAATTCCAAACATTTTTTTAACATTTAAACCATCTGATGTTCTTTAGATTACCTTTATTAGTACTCTATATAAGTTAGTAGAGCATCCTGTGCAGCACTGACAACCACATGACAGGTGAAAATAATAACAGTGTTAGTTACACCCAGGTACCCCGACATGCGGTGTAACTGCACGGGTGACTCTGAAGTTTTCGTATCTATACCGGTAACCGTGAGATTGTTGATTACAGAAACGCAGATAACCCTGAGACGGCAAAAAAGTGTACGCACTCCAGTGTTACCCATGTTATTGTAATCAGAAATCTCAGAATTACCCGTGCAGATATGATGCAAATTGTAGGATCGCCCCTGTAATTAAACCAATGCCTCAGGGTATCTGGATGTAATTAAGTTAGCGCTTTCCGGGCATGAGGAGGTCTTAGCGATAGTAATGAGATCTATCGTTAATAAGTTACTCACTCCTTACAGTACTAATTATGTATCTCAAAGTATACTTTTATTTGTCCAATTGGTTATATTTGAATTGTTTATTTTGTCTGGTATATGTTTTGTTTCTTGTTGAAAATAGGAGGAAGCATGGGGAGTGGGAAAATTGAGGCACAAGAAGCTAGCAAATTTGATCGGGTATTGTTGTGATGACGATCAGAGGCTTCTTGTTGCTGAATACATGCCTAATGACACACTGACCAAACATTTGTTCCACTGTAAGTGTTCTTGATCTAAGCATTTTATTACAGAACACAAATAAGCAATCGGAAATAAAGAATTGTCATGTTCTGGGGCTTATCAAGTGATTGACTACTTGTTGGTGAAGTAATCAATTCACATTGGACTTCTTAGGTATTACAAGTCACATGAATCTTTTGCCAATACTGTAAGAGTTCAATGTTAATTATGATTATTGTTGATACCACTACACTATATGCTCAATTTCCATTCAATTTGTTGCATTTTCCTCTCACCTTTTCAGTTTCTGATGAATTTTCCGCATTTCACTTCAAAACTAAAATTTAAGTCCTTGAAACTTGAATGTCTGAATTCTGAACCTGTAACGATGATTCTAGTTACTTCTTCTTGAAACCATCCTCCGAAGGACATGTATGAGCTGTACATTGATTATTAAACTAATAGAAAGAAGAATAATAGTTCATCTTCTCATTTAGAGGCATTGAAAGCATAAAGGGCTTCATTTTGTTTTGCAACTTGTAATGAATATTTATCTTTGCCACTCAACATACTTCTGCCTTTTCTAAATACTAGTAAGTTAAATTTTGTTCAGTACAATATGTCAGAACTCTTAATCCTTGGCCAAACTGTGTTAATGGATGTTCTGTGGTTTACACTAAATACCAAATAATTAATAATAAGTAAAAGAGGGAACTCAACTTGTGATTTTCTTTAATGTTCAAGCTAAAAATTGTATACTATACGATATGTTGCAAATTTTTTGTTGCATGTCAGTTGTGTATATTCATTTGATAAATTATCTTTGGACAGGGGAAAATCAAACAATTGAATGGGCAATGCGTTTAAGGGTTGCTTTCTCTGTTGCTGAAGCCTTAAATTATTGTAGCAATGAAGGAAGGCCTCTGTATCATGATCTCAATGCATACAGAGTTCTCTTTGATGAAGTAAGTTTCCTTAAAAGTCTAATATGCTTTTCTTTCAGATATACTAACCTATGGCTCTTAGCTGAGAACAAATCCTAGCATACTGTAATAGATATGCAATCATTTCATATGCTGGAGAGAATTTTCGCATGGAGTGGATTTATATAGAATAAGTTTCCTTTTGGTGTGCACAACCAGAAAATAGTTTTAGGATTTAGAAAATGAGGTAGTTACCACAATTCACAGAGACATCTCATATAAGGTAGAACTAATTGTTTTTCAACTTATCAGTTCCAAAAGCTATTATGCATAGGTTAGTTTTTTGGTATTTGAAATATTTTTATGTTCCTTTATTGATTCTCTTTCTGTTAAAACTTTATAGTCTACTTTGTATCATAGATCTTCATTGTGTTACTTCAGAGCGACCTTGTTGACATTTTACTTCTTTGCAGGATGGTGATCCGCGTCTTTCTTGTTTTGGTTTTATCAAAAATTTAGCCTACACACCCCCTGAATACTTGAGAATTGGTATATTCCCCTTCCCTCCTAATTTATATTTTGTGTGTGCTTGGTCATTGATACTCCACAATTTTAACATTAATTTTCTAAACAAACATATAGAAATTCCAAATATCTCATTGGCGTAAGCTATAACATGCTACTGGTCAACTCTATGTTATCTTACATATATCTGCAGATAGAGATGGGTCTATAGACCTAAATGTTATATTTGTTGTAAAGTTGGAAAATTACCACCAACACTCCATCAATGAACTCGGTCTTTCTACTACTGATATGCACAGTTGCCTGCATTTCTACCACTGATATGCACAGCTTGAACGCATTCATAAAAATATATTTCACTGTACCTGATGCTATTTTCTACTAATGCGTAATAGGAGGAACTTCTAGAGACCACGCTTGTAGGTTCTATTTGAAAGCAATTTGATTTGCATAATTGTTGAATCATCTCAACTTTGATTTTCAGGAAGGATCACCCCTGAAAGCGTAGTGTTCAGCTATGGTACTCTTCTCTTGGATCTTCTTAGTGGGAAACATATTCCCCCAAGTCATGTAGGTTTCATCTACCATATATTTCTATCACATGCTTGTAGATGATTATTAGATTAATTGTGGATGGACCCCCTATATTATCACCTAAGTGCGGACATACAGTTCTATTGTTATAGATAGGCCTCTTTAGTTTCATTTATTTATTTATTTTATTTTGGACTCTTTTACCTTAGAGAAAGAGAGAACTGTATTTTGACAAATAGGAGTCCTGAAGGTAAAAGAGTCAAAAATAATTCACGCAGGGGGTCTATTTGCAACAATAGAACTACAGGGGGTCTATCTGCAATAGTGTTGTAGTACAACAGTTCTATCCACAATTAACCCTGCTTATTATCTAAAACTTTCAATTCATTTTTCTTTCTTTTTTTTTACTTTATACTTCTATTAAACTTATGCATTTTATAGTTTGATTAGAACCATTCTTGTAGTCACAAATTGGGATGAAAAATAATCCAAATGAGGAAGCACCAAGCACCTCAAATTGTGTCCCATGCATGTCCATGAACAATACGTGTAGGAACCAAATGATTATTATGATATGTAGGGAAGTCTCTCCAATAAGAAATTCGTGCTTCTAAAATTCTAGCTATGACACATGCGTCGATCTATATTCGAAACTTTAGAGATCTGCAGACCATTATTGAGTAAAAGAATATGTATAAAAAAGTACTCTCCCATTTTCTTTATATTATTTTTACTAAATGGGGTTATATTAATCTATGGTCGACAACCGAATGCATTAAAAATATGAATCATATATATTTACTTACAAGAAATACACATATATAGTTGTCTTTCGTGTCTGAATTTTTACAACTATCGTTTCCCTTGCTTCATGTCCGTGTGATAGTGTAACACTGATGTTCATGTCTGCAGATCATAACAAATTGTGTATAAGAGCATATCGGTTCAAAAGAACCTAAAGATTATGTCTCATACACCTTCAAGTCATATGTCACTGATGATGTTGCTGGAACCACTTTACCCATAATTTGAACGTAATAAATTGTGTAATGATGTGTGTATGTGCACGCCCATGTGTCTCAAATTAATATAAATTTTAACACTCCCCTGACATTTTAGGCCACTTGTAGAAGTCTTCGCCTTTGAACTTGCTTGGATATAGCAAAGCAAAGATAAAATAAATATATTTAAATTTGTAATGCTTAGATTTGAATTCAGGGTCTATTGAAGCATATTGTACTTACAATACCATGTCAAAGACCACTTTACCCAAAAGTTTAGGTACTGATAATGTGCATCAAGTTTAAATAACTTGTTAGTTACATGTATTAAATTATCCTTGGTATAAGTGGGAGGCTAATTTTGTATAACATAAATACCTCACATACATGTGAAGGACATTAAAAATTCAGGTCCCAGACTGAATTTCCAGATATCTTCATCAACTCTTTCGACAGGCACTTGATATGATAAAAGGCAAAAACATCCACCTCTTCATGGATTCTCATCTTGAGGGAAACTTTTCAACAGAAGAAGCATCTGCAATAGTAGACCTTGCTTCTAAATGTTTGCAATATGAACCTAAGGATCGACCGGATATGAAAAGTCTTGTTGCAACACTTGAGTCCCTACAAACTAAATCTGAGGTAATGCCTTATCTAGTGTTATTATGCATGTTATTTTAGCTAATCCATTTTGCTGCTTCTGTGAGATTTATGTGTAAATTGTTTATGTTATTTCAGCTAATTCATTTTCCTGCTTCTGTGTGATTGCTGCTTCTGTGTGATTTATGTGTAAACTATTCATGTTTCTTTGATTTGCTGCAATTGGAAGTGCAACATTTAGCATTTGCTGTAGTAAATTACCCTCAAATCTATTGTTGGATATTTGCACTTTTGTTTCGGAAAAAAAAAAATATTCTCAGCGCAAATCCAGAATCCGCACCAAAAACTGCTGAAGTAAAAGCTAGAGGGTTCATGATAATGAGAACTTAAGCGCATTATGGTTGACAATGTGGCATTATTTTAATTTTTTTATTTTTTCATGGGGCCGCAGAATTTTCTGTAACCAAATTGGGATAGTTGATTACATTTTTTCTATGTACTTCGACTACCAATCTTAGCAACCATTTTTCTAATAGAACACTGAAATATACATCGAGTTGCAACATTTTCTGATCACCCAACCAAACAGCTAGCCCTAGCCCTGTAATGTAAGTGTGTAAAACCCATTTGTAAAGTACTAGATTAAATCCTACTTGATTCTCTTTTAATAGAATTATGTCTTTCATACATACATGGTTTTTCTAGCTTCCTCTGTACTATGAGTGACCATTAATATAGATTATACAAGACCAGTAGGCCACTGTTTTAACAAACCTCCGCCTAGCCCGCTTAGGCGTACGCCTAGGCCTAGACGGTACCTAGGCCGCCTAACTAGCGCCTAGCGCCTAGGCGGTATTTAGGTTGCCCACTTAGATGTTACAAACGTTTAGGAGAGCATTGTCTGCTTACGTGGATTGTACCCTGGAGGCCTTGATTGTGATTTTATGTGTCGTAGCCTACACGTCCTCCAAACTTCATTAACCTCCAAATATGAACACCTCCACTACCTCCTCCGACTTTCAGCAAAACCTCATTGACCACCACTTAAATGAAGAAAGAAAAATAACGTCCAGAAACCGCTTAGGCGCCCGCCTAGGCGCCCGCCTAGGCGACTAAGCGCTGGGCGCCAAGTCCGACGCCTAGAAGCGCTCAGCGTTTAATGTAACATTGCAGTAGGCACAACTAGTCATTGAAGAAAGGATTCATGTCGTCGTTGTTGTCGTGGTCTTCTTTTATGAGCTGATTATGAACTGTGCAGAGGTATTTCTTTCACGTAGGAGGTTTACCTCCTTCTAAAATAGACGTAAAATACTCTAACAAACTCCCATTTCAAATCTGTTCAACTATTTATGGACGATTTATGTGCAAAACCATATTAATGCATTTAAGATACAGGTATTTAATGCACAATATTTTTTTATTCATCAAGGTACCATCTCACGTGATGATGGGCATTAAGAAGCAAGAGGAAGCCCCACCCATACCCCAGCAACCTCTTTCCTCAATGGGGGAAGCATGTTCCAGAATGGATCTGACAGCCATGCATCAGATATTGGTTGCCACACATTACAGAGATGATCAAGGAACCAATGAGGTATTAGCATAATTTATTTATACATAAGATAGAATTGGGAACATCGTTCATAAGATAGCTCATTAATCTTTTATGTTATCAGTTATCCTTTCAAGAGTGGACTCAACAAATCAGAGATGCCCTTGAAACAAGAAGGCAAGGAGATATTGTTTTTCGCGATAAAGATTTCAAGACAGCTATTGACTGTTATTCTCAGGTATGCTGGATTATAAATGTAGAGTTCTGTGATATATTAAGGGTAAATCTCACAAATCCTCCTGAATTTTGGGTGTTGCATAAATCCCCTCAAATTTTTTAAGTTGTCATGCGCTTCAAACAGTTTTGTCCTTAACGTAATTTTTTCGAGCTGGGTAGGTAGATAGTAATAAGGGCAGTTTAGGGCTTTTATCCTTCATATAAGACCATTTATAGCAATTTAAATAGCGAGGGAGGGAGATATAATTTCGATGGTTCAGTCATGTTTTCTCTAATTTAGTTTAAGGCGTTTCATGCAAAATACCCAAGTTCATGGGGGTTTCGTGAAATTTATCCAAAAAAACTTCTGTATTTTGTTTTCTTATTTCTTATACGTGATGACAGTTTGTGGACGCCGGGTTGATGGTTTCCCCTACCGTGTATGTGAGGAGAAGCCTCTGCTATCTAATGTGTGACGAAGCCGATTCTGCTCTTCGAGATGCAATGCAAGCACAATGCCTCAACTCAGAATGGCCAACTGCTTTCTATATGCAGGCTCTTGCATTGGCTAAGCTGAATATGGACAGTGATGCAGTAGACATGTTAACTGAAGCAGCAGAACTGGAAGAGAAAAGGCAAAAGGATGGATCAAATTAATTCTTTTTTTAAAAATCTTGCCTATAGGATAAATGCTGACATGTATAGCCTTCTTTGTGAATTATATGGTATTCAAGAGATGAAAAGATAACATAAGCTCATTTTTTTTCCTTGGTAAAATTTACGTATATTGTACAAATTTCATCGTTCAACAAAATGGTAATCCTTGTTTTCTGGATCTTATGCATCAGGTACAAGTTAAAGAATGTTGTCACCTTAAGAAGCACGATTTACAGTAATTTGCACACTTGGATCGCAGTATTTTAGGTTTTTTATGGCAGTGATGCAAATTGCTAAGATCTAGTCAAAAACGCACCAGGGCGTTGCTATAAACTGTGATTTCATGAAAAAGTATCTATTATGGACAATACTGTTTAGAATACATGAGTGCCTTCACTATGCTGTTCCCTCGTTGGTAAACATTTCTGCCCAATGTGATGTGAACATAGAATCACAACATACATTAACCTATATCACAAATCACGTCTATCTACTTAAGCGACAAAGAGTTCAGCTTTGCCGTCAATGAACAGGCTCATGAACTCCTCACCATCCACTGTCTCTTTCTCAATGAGAAGCTGAGCAAGCTTATGAAGGATATCGATATGAGTGGTAATTATCTGAGTAGCCTTCGCATATGCAGTCTCCACAAGCTCTCTCACCTCAGCATCAACAACATCTGCTGTTGCCATTGAATAATCCTTTTGGGATGACATCTGTTCATACAAAGGACCAGAAGTGAATATGTTAAAATTACAAAAATTTGAAATTAGGGGCAATTCACTTTTGAGTTAATATTAAAATACCTGCTGACCAAGGAATGGGTTTCCACCGGAACTGCCTATGGCTACCTGACCGATCTTTTTACTGAACCCAAACCTCTCAACCATTTGCCTTGCCACCCGAGAAACCTGCATGAAGTCATTGGAAGCGCCCGTTGTAACATTTTCTGTTCCAAAGATCACCTCTTCTGCTACCCTGCATACAAAGTAGACCAATATTAAACTAACGAAAAAGATGGTCCTTACCAGAACTAAATGAAAGAATTTAAGATTCATGTAGTCGATCCCAAGAATTTGGGATGAAAGGCTCATTGTTGTATGGGTAGATTGCACACAACCCCCTTATCTATACCTTGAATTGCACTAAACCTACTCAACTCATTTACTAGCACATAGCACTCTTGAAATGGCATTTTTAGGAAGAGGAATTGCAAGTACCACCCCTCTTTTTCATGAATTGAAGGGAGGTAAGTGCTAATGAGTTGAAAAGTGTTTAGTGCATCTCAAGGAATAGATGAGGGGGTTATGTGCAATTTTCCCTTCTAATAAATGCAAATGAGATATTGGATATGGTTTCTTAATTGAGTTGATACCAACCTTCCTCCAAGTGCAACAGCCATCTGGTTCTCTAGGTAACTCCTACTGTATAGCCCAGACTCTAACCTCTCTTCACTTGGAGCAAAGAAAGTAAGTCCACCTGCTTGACCTCGGGGGATAATAGAGATTTTGGCAACAGGGTCGTACTCAGGCATGAGTGCACCCACAAGAGCATGTCCAGCCTCTGCAAAACAAGATAATTTATTTATTAAGTTGACTCAAACTCAATGAAATATGATTCTAGGCTAGTAAATTACCATGGTATGCAACCAGTTTTTTCTTCTCTTCAGACACGACAGCATTTTTCTTCTCTGGTCCAGCAATTATTCGCTCGAGGGCATCAGATATCTCATCTTTGCTGATCTCCTTAAGATCACGTCTGGCTGCAAGAATAGCTGCTTCATTCATGAGGTTTTGAAGGTCTGCTCCAGTGAAGCCAGGGGTTCTCCTAGCAATTTTCTCAAAGTCCACATCCTTTGCGAGTGCTTTTCCTCTGGAGTGAACCTATCAAATAGAGAAAATTGTACGGGCATTAGTTCCAACAAGCAGATTAAGAGCATTCTATTGTCAGCAATTAGCACTTGGCAAAGCCCAGCAGAGAGGTACTTTGCCATGTGATTTTATATTCCATTCAGATATGACAAAAAGTGCAATTAAGGCATCAGAGTAAAGAATGCAACAAGAATCGTGGTATGCTCATCCACTTTCAACTAAGAACAACAAAAGCTATGAGCTACATTGCCTGTTTCATGAATGTTCGACAGTTTTCAAGATCTCTCACCACTTAAATTCTAAGGGTCATCTGTCCTTTCTAAGTGCTGTCTTGCATGAATGATGCGTTGCATATTTCGTTTCCATTAAGAACCACTTAAATCAAAAAGATAAACAAGGGGGTTGTAGGTTTGCAGTTTGAATTAAATAACACTTAACAGCCTCCCTATCTGGACCTTTATAGTACTTGGATAGGCCTCCAGCTTTGAAGTAAAATAAATGGGAATAAATAAATACGTTAAATCATAGCAATAGTGAACTTTGTACCCAGAACCTCTTGAAACCTGATGCTCTGATACCATGGCAAGTGACTAGTTTGCTCAAAAGGTTAAACTGTTGGATGAAGGCTAACAATGCATATCAACCTTGGATAATATTCAATGGTCCTAATTCAATCAGTTTATTTTTTAACATTAAAGTAGAATATTCATTAAAGTAGAATATTCAATGGTCCTAATTCAATCAGTTTATTTTTTAACATTAAAGTAGAATATTCATTTCTTCTTCGCAACGTGATCTTACAGTCTGCTAAGCATCAAAACTATTTCTCGGCATACATGTTGTGTATGCTGCTATTGAGACCCTCCAACATAGCTTCCTAGAGGATCTACTTTTTAGAATATTAGAGTCTAAAATTTCATCAGTTAAGGTTCTAGTTTTAGCTTATACTACCAACACACGGTCTGATACTTTCTGCTTTCAGCAATAATATGACCCTGAATTAATTTTTACTTGGTATCATCTTAGATCATCTTTTCCATTAATAAGTCAAGAGCAAGAGTCACTGGCTCTTTATGCCACCTACACTATAGAAAAAAAGGGGTTCATGTTTATGTATTGTTAAATTTTTACCACTCCAAACAATTAAATATGGTCATGCATGTGTAATGCCCCAAAATCCAGGAATAAGTTATTCATTGAATGCTTCTTTTTTAAATGCACTGTTTAGAAGAAGTGATACAATTATAGTTAATGGGGGCAAAGAGGACTAGATGTAGCCTAAAAAGACTTGGTTAGAAGCAATTACCAAAAATATGGAAATAGTTAACGGAGAAGATGACCTGTAACAGAACTGAATGAGAAAATAGGATTCATGTAGCCGACGCCGAAATTTGGGATAAAGGCGTTTTTGTCAATGGTTCTTTCCATAATTGCAAAATGCCAAACACCAAATTACTGATAGGTTAATGAATCCATTTTGCAAGGAGATATTAAATATGTGTCATGGTTCTTTTCTTCAGGAATATAAGGTAATATATGTTACAATTAAGCATTCTCACTCACTCATATCATGATGAACTCTAGCCTGAGCATTAAGTATTAATCTAATACCTCAGATCTCTAGACAATGCAAGCATTACTTCAAGATCATTCTCTTGGCCAGTGACTTTTGCTCTCTTTCCTAATAAACAGCTTGTTAAGAAAACATGATATGTAAAAGTCACTAGAATTATCACGCTTATCAAATATATTAAAAAATAATGGTAACTGCATGCTAAGGTTCCTGAATTCACCAAGACGTCTATTTTGCTGTGAAAGAAGAAGAGGAGGGGGGGGGGGGGGGGAAAAAAAATGGGGGGGGGGGGGGGGGGAAGAAAAATATTTATTAAGAACTTATATCAAAGTGACAAGGTGAGAATTACACCTTGATGCAATGTTTGGGTGCTTTTATCAGAAGTTTAAATCCCTCTCAAATCTGTTGCTTTTAATTTAGAATTTATACATGCCACTCATGATGAATAATAGGCTACACATGTTCCTCACAAAATAATTAAAAAAAGGCCCTGCTTTTATTAATCATTTGTCAAAGAAAAAGCATGCCTTTCCATTACGTACGAGATATATCAATATTCATGTTGTACTTACTTCCAACTTAACCATAGTTTAGTGACCAATTTTCTATTTTAGATAACATAATCATTTTAGCATATCAATTTCACTCTCATAACAACTAACCACATTTAGTCTATTCCCTTTATTCAATGCAATGCAACAACGAACATAAGCATGAAAATGTAACATGTCAACGAAACGCAACAATGGCATCAATGGACAGCTAAACGCCGAAAAGGATACCTAAGAGCAGTAAGACCAAATACCTGCAAAATCTTAACTCTCCCAGCAACATCAGGCCTATCCACAGACCTGCCTATCGAACCTCCCAGGCCTCAACAAAGCCGCATCAAGAACATCCGGCCTGTTTGTTGCCGCGAGCACAATAACCCCGCTGTTCCCTGAGAATCCATCCATCTCCGTCAACAGCTGGTTTATAGTCTGCTCCCTCTCATCATTCCCTCCTCCAAGCCCCGCCCCTCTCTGCCTCCCAACTGCATCAATCTCATCGATGAACACAATACAGGGTGCCTTAGATTTCGCCTTCTCGAATAAATCCCTAACCCTAGAGGCTCCCACACCAACAAACAATTCGACGAATTCGGATGCTGCACATGAAAAGAACGGCACTCCGGCCTCTCCGGCCACAGCCCGGGCTAAAAGGGTCTTCCCCGTCCCAGGTGGGCCCACCAAGAGACAACCTTTGGGGATCTTTGCTCCTAGAGCAGTGTACTTATCAGGATTCTTCAAGAAATCAACCACTTCTTGAAGTTCCAATTTCGCCTGATCAGCCCCCGCCACGTCAGCGAACGTGACGCCTGTCTCCGGAACCTCCTGAAACTTGGACTTCGACCGGCCAAAATCCATAGGCCCGCCGAGCCCTCCAGGCCCTCCTCCAGGCCCGCCCTGAGCTCGCCGGAACAAGAGGAACAATCCGGCAAAGGCCAAGAGGGGGAACAGCAAATTCCCAATGAAATTGAACAACCCATTACCAGTATCTCCCTCAGAGACCGAGATATCGACTCCGTTCATAGCGAGGATGTCAATAAGGTCAGGGTCGTTCGGGACCACAACGGC